TTGGGAGCGCCCGGCCGTGCCGGGTGGGGCTCGCTTCGCCTGAGGCTTGCCCTGGCCGCCTTTCCTCTTGAGAAGGAGGGGGACGGGGCGTGAGCTCTGCGCACAGAGCCCTTCTTGTGAAGCCTGCTGCCTTCCCTTCTGCAAGAGAGGTGCCCACGCGTGGGAGGCCGTAGGTGCCTTTGTTTGTAGGCAGGCCGGCCTTGATTCGTGCCCCCCAGGAGGTGTGGAAAATGGCCACGGCTGCCTATTTCGCTGCCGAGTGCCTCGTCTCCATGTCCAGCCGGGCGATCATACATGGTCCTGCTGGAGGACCAAGGCCTCCACCTGTTGCGGTGGCTTCGCCCCTCGCCGTCTTGACCCCCGAGGAGAAACCGGAGGCGAAGGAGGCAGGAAGAGACAACGGAGGGGGCCCCTCTGTGTATGCCGTAGCCAGCATTTTGGCCGACTTAAACCAACAGCCCCCCAAGTCTTCCTCGCTTCAGGTGGAGAAAGGACAGAGGACGGACCGAAGGGAGGAACCCAAGCCTCCTCTTCTGCAGGGAGCGTTTGGGGAAGACATGATCCTGCCGGCCAGCAAATGTGGAGGAGAAAGAACGGCCACACCTACCCTCTTGGCAGCAGCGAAGGAGCCCAGCCCAAAACAAAGGAGCAGGCGAGGGAGATGCCAGCTTGACCCCGAATTACCTCAGAAAAAACACAAATGCCACTATGTGGGATGTGAAAAAGTTTACGGCAAGTCTTCTCATCTGAAGGCTCACCTAAGGACCCACACAGGTGAGCTCTCGGCTTGGTGGTGGTGGTGAAACTGAGGGCTCCTGGACTTCAGACTTCCAAAACTGAAGTCCAGAGAGGGTGAGGAGAGCGCTTGAGAACTCAAGGCTTACATTGTCCCCGCTGCCGTGGCTGCCAGAGCAGGGCACTTAACCAAACCCGTTGTTAATGAATGCCAGCAGAGAACTGCTACCCGCCCCTCTCTTTTTCTTTCTTCTCCTTCCTCCTGCCTGCTTCTCTCCGGGTGGCCCGCTGAAGACCCTCTTCTGACCTCTTGCCCCCTGGCACAGCAGAGCAGTCCTTTCTGATGTTGCTAGTCCTTTGCCTGTTCTTCTGTGAGAGAGCGACATGTGTGGGGTATCTTAGGGCTCTCTGCATTGGCTACTACTCCCCCAAGTCTCGGTAGCCTGCTCCTGACATTCTCCAGGGCAGCCCTTATGGAGATGGTTTTAACTTTTTCTCCTTCTTTCCTTTCTTAGAAACATTCTCACAGAGGTGTGGGAGAAAACTCCTGGGCCCCTGTTAGCCCTACTGAGTCAACTTTAATGCTAGGAAATATAAACAGGCTGGCTCCGGTTGATAGTTCAACCAGGACAGGGCCTTATTCTCCCTACATTTATTCTAATCAAGAGGATGGAGGTTAGAAAGCCGGGAGCACCCTCTGCCTGTATTTTTCCCCACTGAAGACTGGCTGCAGTTTTTCGATGGGTGCCTCCCGTGGGTGCTGGCTTGGTTTCTTCACGTGGGTTATTTGGTAGAATAACTTTGCGTGATTCAGAGGGTGCCACCCAAGCAGTTGGGTAACTGGAAGCTGGAAAACGCCTCCGCCATCTATCACAGGGCACAACCCAGCAGGAAGGTTGCCTCTGGAATATCTGGACTATTGTGGGTTTAGCATAGCACATCACCATTGGGTAGGAATTATGCTCCATGGCATATGCGTTTTCTGTCTCCTGTGCTGCTGCCCTGCTTAACTGCATCGCCCTTCCCTTCCCTTCCCTTCCCTTCCCTTCCCTTCCCTTCCCTTCCCTTCCCTTCCC